TAACCGAGGCCACCTTTCGGGAATTACATTACAAAACTAATTTAAGAATTGTTAATCTATTATATCACTGGCGCGAGCACTCGTTCCTAGAAGCCCGAGTGTCACTTGTGTCTCTTTGTCCTTAAAGAATATAACACGTAATAAATGCTTCTCATATTAAACTGTTTTCAGAGAGTACATAGTCAAAAATTGACGGAATTTGAAAATTACTGCTTTGCTAAAAGACACGTTTCCTACATAGATAGTGAATTTTGAACTATAAATGTGCATTACAGATATGAATATTCGTAAAGATGGCAAACAACTGCATCATTTATCTGCCCGAACATTACTGCGTAGAATTGAGGAGTCATACGAAAAAAAAAATGAAAAATATAAAGAGCGAGATTTCAAACGCCAAATATGTATGTACGACAGCAGATATCTGGAGTAGCCACAGTCGTCGATTCATTGGTGTGACTGTTCATTGGGTAATTATTAAAGAATTAATATTATTAATCAATGTATACTTGAAACTTGTAACAGTGGTCATTAAATTTGGAACTTATATATGCTTTCATTTAGATTGATGAACAATTTTTCAAAAGGATATCATATGCCATTGCCTGCAAACGATTCCCCGGAAGTCACACACATGATCGAATCGCCATTATTTTGAATGAAATTCATTCAAAATACAATATAACTGGTGAAAAGTTGGTAGCTACTGTCACAGACAATGGTTCCAACTTTGTCAAGGCTTTCAAAAAATTTGGAGTTTATTTAGATGATTCTTTGTTTCATGAAGGTGAGTCGACGTCTAAGTATTTTTTTTAACAATACTTTTAAATCCAAACAATGGAGACATTGATAGATAAATGTGTAAACAAATCGATCTTTAAATAGATAAATGAATAATGTACGGGAGCTAATGATAATATGGATGTTGTAGACTCCATCGAAGCATACGAAGAACAAGATCAAAATGAACATGAATCTGCAGAAATAGTATCTTTTGAAGGAATGTTTCTCCGTTATTACCTCCTCATCAAAGATGTGCTAGCCACACTCTGCATTTAGCTGCA